TAATGACAATATATATTAATCCCCATATCACGAAGGAAAGTCAAAAAGTAAAGGGACTTTTGCATTTTCTCTTGCCAAGGTTAAGAAACCGCGCTTGTATCCAGTGCTGAATGAGGGGCAGTCAGAAACCCTCTGTGACGGCTCTATCCACGTCCTTCCTAATAACCTCTTGGGAAATATTTGATCTTTTAAAACTATTTTATTTGCAACGAACCCTCTGAAGAAGAAAACACGATTCTTTAAATTAGATCTACTATATATATAAAGGCTTTTAAGCTAGAAGAGAAAGAATTTGAGAGAGATAGGATAGATTGCAAGTGAACAGGTATTAATCAAATTCATAGTGTAACTTAGATATTTGATAATTGTAGTAATTAAAGTGACGGTTGTGGTCACTATAGTTTAAATAGAGCTTAGATATCTAGGAAAGTAGATTCGAACCTGAAATAAGTGCAATCAACGTATTGCTTCAATTGTACGCATCTCTTATTTAAGATTAATTGAGTCGCCCAACCGGTGCAGTGGTTAGCGACGCTAACTGCGGTGCCGTAGGGACTGGGTTCGAATCCCGGAGAAGTCATGGATTTTTGTAAATGTATAGTCTCTTGCGGCATGGAGGTACTCTAAATAGCCGTCGAACCGCAAGTCCTCTCGTGTGGTTGGTGGAAGGGGAAGAGATGTGGGAGGCCCCTGTACATCCCAGGGTTTTCTACCTCTAAATTAGGGTGGAACCGAGCAAAATCGTAATGTCACCTGCATGGTCCTCAAAGCCAACGCTAACGACAGGCGTAAAAATTTTAGCTCTTAGACGTGATGAATTTCGCGGACCTCGATCTGACTTCGTCAGACATGTGGCATTAGTCACACAACACACGCGAATGATTGCTCTTGTGTTTTTGATTGTGTGACAAATAAATAGAGTATTTTTAGATATGGCTAGTCTTCTTTTCCTTCCTCCCATATTTCTAGGTGTGGATGAGAGAACCTCACAACTCCTGTACAACTTGTCACTCGTCTTTCATCGTAGTAGTTTGAGTGTAGCAGTCCTTTCAACGGGGTTGCTCCATTGTTGATCTACACCAAGAAGAAAAGGTGGAGGGGGGCAGTGATTCGCTTTTTGTTTGCGGAAGGTAAAACCCGAGGAAATTATTCATCAAATGCAAGAGAAGTCTGAGGAAAGCTGCTTATCACGAAGCAATATCTACGAATGGATAAAACACTGCCTCAAACAGCGGAGAACTTTACGTGACGATGAAATATCCGGCAGTCGATAGACGTCAACCACTCAGGAGAATGTGCAAGTCGATGAGGGTATAGTGATGGAAGGAATGGATAGTATCCAGCACATAAATTTCACACCTACATTAAACAGAAAGTGAATCACAGCTCTTCTTTCCTCCTTGATGCCGATCGACAATGGATCTGCCATTTTGAACGATTTGTTACACTCTAACGCCTGCGAGGAAAGACGAACACGTTGTATAGAAGTGTTGCTGACTAGCACTGGATACTAGCGCTGTTGCCAAACCTTGGAAAGAGAAGTTGTAAAAGTCTCTTTACTTTTTGACTTCCCCTAGTATTTTAAGTTTGTCATTTCAACTTTTATCGTTACTTGACTAAAGATTCATCATTGTTTTGTTTTATTGAACCAATGTCGTTTTATTTCATTTCTATTATTGTTTTGCTCATTTTTTATTATATTATTTTTGCTCATTTTTTAATATTTGACAATATTTTCACAGTTTCACATCATTTATCGTTACAGGTTCCTTTGTTTAATGTCTTATTGTTCCCATTGCGTTTTCTTTTAGTATCTATTACAATTTGCAGTTCTTTTTATATAATTGTTTATCTGCTTATTCCGTACTGTTCCTTTCATTCTATTTTTGTTTTCAAAGTTTTAATTCAATGTAACACTATAATTGCATGTAATTGTTCTTCTTCGCCTTATTTAATTTTTGCGCGGTTTCCATAATTTTATTTCATTATTTAATAATTTTTATTTATTTCTATGCATGATTACTTATATTTTAATCAAGTTAACTCATCCATTTACATCAGAAATTTATTTGAAATTTTTTATACAAGTGCTAGGATTTCAGGTAAATATTCCCTGAACTTTTTTAGTCTGTACAACCTCATTTGTTTGTTTTTTTTTCTGTTTTTCTATTATAGTTCTATTTTCTAAAAAACTTTTAAAATATTTAACACATAGGCTGTAAGTAATCTGAAATATTTCTTAAGCTAAACAAAGCTTAAATCTTTGTTACAAATGTCTTTAAAATGAACAACTTTATAAGCTAAAATGTCTTTAGTGTTTTTTTCCCTAGAAATTTGGGAAGCTACTTACTATAAATATAGCAATGATTGAATATTTCATCATCAATACAAATACAATATTGACAATTAAAATCGCTCCAACAGGAAGAAATGCAGATAACAAAATGATATTTCTTGGACAAATATATCATACTGGAAATAACAAATGATTAAATTTTCAAGAAATTTTGGTTTATAGATCCTGAGAAATCAGTAACCATAACAACTACTTTTGGCAGTAAAAAGAGCACCTATACGCCTGTGCATTGAGTCAAATAGAAATTGGATGGCATGTACAGGTACATATGCCCATGCAGCTTTAACACAATGCCACAGCTCATCAACCGTAGTGACTCGGTGTAATGTGATGAGCTAGTCGCTCGGCAACCATGGACCAAAAATTTTCTATTGGCGAGAGATCTGGTGAACGTGAAGGTCAGGGCAATAGATGAACATTTTCCGTATCAAGGAAAGTCTGTACAATACCGGCAACATGCGGTCAGATATTATCCTGCAGAAACGTAAGGTTTCACAAGACTCGAATAAAGGGTAGAGATACGAGACGTTACACACCAGAACTGTAACATGCACTGTTCAAAGCGCTGTCAGGGTGAACAATAGGTGACCGAGGCGTGTATCCAATAGTACCCCACAACATTACGCCAGGTGATGGACCAATATGACGATGACGAATGCACGCTGCCAATGTGCCTTCATCACGATGCCGCCAAACACGGATGCGACCATCTTGTTGCTATAAACACAACTTAGATTCATTTAAGAAAATGGCGTCTCCCCATTCGGGTGCCCGTGTTCGTAGTTGATTACACTATTAAAGACGCTTCTGTCTGTGATGCAGTGTCAAGGATAGCCGTAGCAATGGTCTCCGAGCTGAGAGTCAGGGCTGCTACAAACGTCGTCGAACTGTTCTTGCAGACTCTTGTTGTCTTACAAAAGACCCCAATCTTGACTCACGGCTCGTGACGTGGTTTCACTATCCATTAAGGCCATGCGGGTAACATGCCTGTTTTCTCTGCTGCTAGCGATCTTGCAAGCAGTATTATCATCCTGAACCCCATCGAATCCATTTTCTGCTGACTGTCATTGGATCTCGACTGACACGAGAAGCAATACTGCGATACGATAAACGGCAATCCCGGTTACGCTACAATTCGACCTTTATCAAATTCAGAAACGTACTGGTGCGCATTTCTGCTTCTTACACGATGCATCACAACAACTTTTCACCAGTCAACAACGTTCAAATACAATTTGTGCATGAGAAACAGGCTGACAAACTCTCATTTAAACACATTATAGGCGTCGCTACCGGCACCTGCTTTGTCTGAACGCGATAAAAAGCTCATCATTTGCATATCACAACACCTTCTTCCTGTCGTTTTAATTTCACGTATGTTGCATGTCGCCTTCTTGGTGTAGCAATTTTAATGGCCAGTAGCGTAAATTTGATTATACTTTAAAAGACTGTAAGAAAAAAACGTATTGCAATAGGATATCTATAAGCAAAAACTGCTTTTGGGTTACATAAATTCTGCAAAAAATTCACCAGCTACAATTTTTATTAATGAATATAACATCTTACCATTTCATCCTTTTTACGATCTAGAAATGTCACTCACCATTTCAGAACCTCTTAGAGTCTAAGAGCTTCAGAAATGTTGATCGACATTTAATGTTGACTTTAATGTATAAGACATTAAAGTATTTTATAATCTACTCCAAAGAACCATTAACTACTACGGTCTTCACATGAAAGGAATATGATTAGAGGATAGATTAATTGACTTCTGGACTATTATAAGTTTTCTTATCACTTCAATCAATTACCTCAGTTCCCAGCCAGTTAATCTTAGACTGCTTTCTAGTGTTGCTGACAGGCATTTAAATGATGATTGGAGATGATTTTGATTATAAAAGGTTGAATACTAGGTAGAAGCGCTGTGGTGATGCCCATGCTTGAGGGGATGGAGACATTTAATTCATTCATGGTATCTAAAGATTTTTAAAAGGGGCTGTGTGTGTATGTGTGTGTGTGATTTTAGCACAATATAGACTGTGATTCCGAAATTTAATAATTTTTTGAATGAAAGGAAAGTATGTTAATGAAATTTCTGAAAATTTTCTGTTTGTAGCTCAGATAACTGAAACCTTGCTTTATATGAAGATTACTTTCTGACAGTTAGATTACGAATTAAAAAAATTAATTACAAAATTACATTTCCGACATAACATTACATGTCAACATTAAGACGAAAAACATTTAATAATTCAAACAAAAAACATACTAAGAATAGATATATTAAGAATTTAAGATTAACACAGTGAATAAACTGAATTTTTAGAGACCGGAGTCTTAAAATACAACAAAAAATAGATACTTTTCAATTTCTGCAATTAGATCACTTTCTCCCTATATATATATATATATATATATATATATATATATATATCTTGCTCAAAATTTTTAATTGTTAATAAAATACTTTCTATTCATCCATTCAATTTCAAATACAATTTTTGTAAACTTGTAGTGGGTAACACTCGGTGTTAATTCAGTTTTTTCAAATATTAATTCATTAATTAAATTAAAGATGAATAAATAGTAACAAACACAGAATAATAATCCAACAGCATACATAGCAAGGAAAATCGTTCTTTATGTCTTTGTAGCGCAACAGATAGCGCGTTGGACTTCTGATCCAAAGGTTATGCGTTCGAATCCCACCAGGGATGGTATAATTTCTGAGAAAGTTATTTCTTTTTCACTTGAGCATTTTATTTGAAAAATTAAATTTAATTAATGAATAAGTAGTTTCAAACAAACAAAATATAGTCCAACACTATATATAGATAGGAAAATGGAAAATTACAAGGAAAATCATTTTCTATTTTGTTATATGTAATATTGTGGTTCTCTCATGTGCATATACATATTTATATTAAGTGTAACTATTTAATAAAAAATAACGGAAATAAAATTTATCTTTGTGTGTGTGTTGACCTAAGTAAGAATTGACTTACTTTTTTTTACATTACTTGTGTTTATAGTATGCCTTATTGTAATTTTATACATCTCTTTTAAAAGAATTCTTTTTTTGTTGTTGTTGTTGTTGTTGATGTTTTAGATAACAGAATTGTTACTTATTAAATATAAACATTGAACTACTAAATGAGTTATAATTAAATGAGTTAAAATTTCCTACGAATTACCGTCTCTTAAAGAACATTATATTTGAAGTTAATTAGCGTGATTGTGTAAAAATAGAATGAAATCATTTTTGTAAATATTTTTATTCTTAGTACTAAAAACATAATTACCATAACAAAATATGTCCGCTCTTAAAACTTTCTAGAAGTATATTTACTTTTAGATATATACTATTTTTAATTATGTTTATCTCAAAGCATTAAATAACGGGAAAATGCTTAATGTATTAGAATGAATACTTCGAACCGGAACTGAGCAGAAAAACAGAAAAAAAAATCCTCTATTTTGGTTGGACCGAAAGCCAGAACTGAACAAAAAAAAAGTATCCTTTCAGTTCAGCTTAGTAATTTCCATATATTAAATAAATAAACACATTTTTTACATAAGTATTGCAAGGCCAAGTGCACTATGTGAGCAGCAAGCGTCAAATGACGAGGTTACACAAAATCGATATAATTATGAACCTAGTTATCAAATGCAATTTTGATATAAATGACAACAATGCCAATGTTTACCGTTCTCTGCTAGCTACTAATATTGTGCCTGCTGGTTAAATATATCAATTCACATAGTATACCAATTTTAAAAAAGATTAAAATATATTCTAAATTTTGATAAAATTACATTTTTTGTTTATGATAGAATTATAATTTTATTACAAATAAGAATATATATATATATAATGAAATTATATTCATTCGGAACTGAACTGAAAACCATTGTTTTTGGTGGAACGAAAACCGGAGCTGTGAACCAATATATATATATTTAGTTGAACCGGAACGATTGGAATTTTTGTGTGGGCACATAAAATCCAAATCTATCACATTCATGTGGAAAATATATATGGTAAAATATAATCCTATGAACACAGCTTAGCCATTTAACATCAAAGTACATAATATGGCATTGACTAGCTTTAGAGGAAAAACCACATACGTAATATTAGGGAGAGCATTTTTTCAACGATTATTTTCAGCTGAGTACGTATGAAATCACAGAGAACTTACAGTGATTGCGCCGTAGCGAAGAAAATATTGAGTGAGTTGAAAGAGAAAAAAAAGAGGGGAAAGTACGACAAGAATCCCGATACCAACACGCCACTTGCAATCTTGGCTCTATGTGTGGCACCTAGTTTTAGTATAAAGTAAACAATTGATTAAACGTGATTTCATATATATTATTTTAATCAATTATCAATATATTATTATTATTGTAAAAAGTGTCTTATAGAAAGATATTTTTTCGTTTTGTGAACAAAATAGCAATGACAATAATAAAAATTTGGAGTTTTCAATTATTATCTTTTTATTTTTCATTTAAAGTTTTAATTCTTAGATATTTTTTAAATGGAAAAAAATTGTCTTCAATAAAAACTTTTTATACATTAAAAGAAAAATTAGGAGGGTACTTTTTATCAGTTTCTTTATTTCAAATAGGGATCTTAAGTGGTAAAATGATACTTTGGTAAAATTTTAAAAATTGGTATTGCAATATACGTATAGTCAGCACTTTTAAATTAGAAAACATTTTTAAAAAAACTTAACTTGAAATGTATAAAGTAATAAATAATTAAACTTTTTAAGCTGCATTTAATTTTTTGATTCATAAAACACCATTAAAAATCAAGAAAATGAATAATTTGAAACATTTTCAATTAATAATATAGTTAAATATAGTTTCATGAAGCAGTCATTTTTTCCAAATATGACATCCGAAAATAACATAAATGTGAAACAATATTTGATGTAATAGGTAAATATAATTGACTTTTCAGAAAGTAATTAATAATAAAAATTTTTCCTAAATTAAAGAAAAAAATTATTTTTATGTGTAACGAAATTTTGAAATACAAAGTTGAATTTTTATGAACATATTTTATGGTAAAGAAAGAAATCTTCACTCTATTTGTTTAGCAAGATATACAAAATTTCTAACTTTTCACAGAAGGAAGTCGAATTTCCATAAATAATTTCTCTGCTTGCTATAGAAATAGATGCTTATGCGATGTTACTCATTCTTTTCATATATTACTGAATATTCATATTTACTTAGAATATTCTGTTGGGTTTTTTTTACTTTCACAATTTGATTAGAAAACCGAAATGTTTCAAAATCTTTATATCTATAAATGATGTTTTGATCAACAAAGATATAAAATCGAAGGAATATGTAAAAGTTTTTAAAATTACACTAACATAGTTTTCCTTTTCCTGTTTATGTTTAAAAAATTATTTAGATTGTCATGTCGTAAATACTGTTAAAATTCAATCATTAACATAAAATACTTTGAATTATTTCAATAATCAACTAGGGTTAAGTATTTACTAGTTCAACTAGAGTTTAATTTTAAGTGAAACTGTACGATTAAAAATCTAGAAAAAATGAGTATTTCATTTACATCTTTGAGTAACTTTCGTATGATATATCAGTAATTTTGAAGTGATTTTTAAAAATGGGAGATATTTTCGGGTATATTTTCCGAATATCCAATCTCTTAACTGATGTTTTAACCCAACGTTTTTAAGTAAAAGCCAATTCTGCAATTTATGTACTCTGTTGCAAATAAATGAATAATAATATAGACAACTATTTCTGCTCAATCCAGTTTCTTATAATTTAAGTATTCGATTAAAAATATAAAATTAGAAAATGCAGTTAATTTAAAATAAAAAGAAGTTTTACAGTTGCGAAGAAAAAATAAACTATACTTTTATTAACGTTAAAGGTAAAAAAAAAATTCAGTTATTTAAAAACTAGCCAATACATTCACCGAAAATGAAATTATATGTTGTTTTTAATTTTTTTAAAAATACCCTGAAATTGTGTGACATGAAGGAAAACAATTCCAATTTCAAATACGACTTTTCCTAATTTTCCCCCCACTTCATCTGACCTTAATGATTATTGCCTCTCAAACTTTTAACATCATAGAAGCTAACAAAAAGATATAACTATAGGATTTCAATAAATATGAGAATTTCTGTAATGACTTTATTGCGTGGAACTATTTCATCGAATTTTAAGTCATCGGAAGGAATCACCACCAATTATTTCTCCTTTTGAAAGAGAATAAGACAAAAATTCTTTTCTGTTTTCCCTTTCATTAGGGAGAGAAAAGATATAAAACAAATTTATCGGAACAAAAATAGATGCTAAAAGTTGCACGGAAGGAAAGTTTAAATTGGTATAATATTTCGCCTTCGGAAACGACTAATCAGCAAGTATACAATATTCAGAGAAACATTACATTATTTTATTTTTGAAATATTATATCTTAAATATATTAACAATTATAAATTATATTTTATTAATGGGAAGTAAAATAAAAAAATACTATCCTTTAATTTATTTATATTTAATATATTTAAAGGAATTAAAAGCAAGTTTTGTAAGTGATAATTCTTTGATATTAATAAATAAACTGAAACCTCTTGTACCGCTTAATAAATAAATTCAAATAATAGTCATTTTTATATGTATAGCTTACAGATTAAAGTTTCCAAAACAGGTAATTCTGATTCAGAAAAATATGTAAGCTTAGCATTTTTCCTTCACAAATATTTAAAAATATAAAATTCTTTCCTATATAATTCGCTATTGACATTAAAAGGAAACAAATTATGTGATTAAATTAAATACCAATAATTTTTTTAAAACTTAGAGATAATAGACAGTTGTCCATTCTGAAAGAACGGAATAATAGAGCATTGTCTCTAATGTACAATAAAAACATTCCAGTCGTTTTTTTTCACAAATCTTTCGCATATGCTACCATAAATGTTTAAATTTGTTTTTACACTTTTCAAAAATGTTAATTGCAGATTAAAAAAAATTATTTTGTATGTAACATGTATACTAGGACTTTCTTCGCCCAAATGCATAATTTTTCGCTATTCTCGGCTGATCTTAATATACATTTTAGGAAAATTGTATAACATAAAAATAAAGCATTGTAAAAATTGTGAGAAATGGTCAAGCTTTGCCAATGTATTTTATTCGCAACTTTGTAAGAGCAGTCGACTTTACAATTCGTGTGTTTGAATAATAATTTTATGGAAAATTTTTAAGAGTATCCTGCATCTTTCGAAGGCTTGATTCATTGGCATTTATTGATATTACAATCTGAATCTACTGTAAGGCTATTGATGACAAACCTTGTAGTTTTAAACCATTCTCAGTTGGTAATGATGAACCACCACACCACTCCATTTTCTAAGCCTTCACACTACTTCTACATGAGGACTTTGAGAATCGACAATTTTAACTTACATGAGTCCTTTTGCTCGGTTGAAGCAGCTCCTTCAGTTGAAGCAGCAGTAGAACCCTCAAATCGATGAAAGTAATATGGCCATGATTCGTCTATCGTGGTCATTTTCTGATAGCAAATCACCAAAAAATACAGATAATAAATTCCTTGTTTTGCCTCATTTTTAATTCAAAATAAATAAGAAATGTGAAGTCACATGTTTTAATAGCATATGTCTAGAAATAAAATACCTAATGCAGTAATACTTACTTGAAT